TCCTTCCAGGTCGAGAAGGACCCATCCACTACCACCCTCTGGGTGCGACTCTCTAACCAGCTGGCGACCCATTGGACTGTATGGGTGTCTACGCCACAGTCCCCCAGCTTCCTAATGAGAATGGGGTGAGAGACAGTGTCAAAAGCCTTCCTGAAGACTAGGAAAACTATATCCACTGCTACCCCTGCATCCAATGATTTAGTGACCTGGTTGTAAAAGGCCACCAGGTTGGTCTGACAGGACCTGCCGCTGATGAACCCATGCTGGTTGCCCCTGAGCATGCAGTTCCCTGCTGGCCCGTCCTGGATGTGTGCCAGAATAATTTTCTCGAACAGCTTGCCCAGGATCGAGGTAAGACTGACTGGCCTGTAGTTCCCCGGGTCCTCTTTCCTCTCCTTTTTGAAGATTGGAACCACGTTGGCCCTCTTCCAGTCCTCTTCCAGGTTGGTCCAGTGAGGGGCCATAGGCAGCTCACACTTTGGATGCGCCCTGTGTGCTGCTTGCCAATGTCCACTGGCTCCAGCCCCAAGCACCACATGCAGCACATGATGGCCCCAGCCCTGTGTGCAATCTGGACGAGTCCTGGATTAAGCACGCAGGGTTGGTTCAGTACAGGTGCCACATGAAATGCACACCTGAGACTGGCTCCATGTATTGCAACACATCCACCAGCTCCAGCCTCCACACCATGTGAAGCCCATGCCAGACAGGCTCCATGCACCACATGCAGCTCTCAGGGCTTGCTGCATGTAGGGGGCCAGTCTAAGACCCGGAGGCTGCACTGTGGCAATGGAATTGTAGGATTTTTAAGCAGTCTATTTATGTGCTCCCCAGGGCTCTCTTACTTAAAGTTTGCCTTGCAGAGAGGATTAAATCCAGGTCCCTGAAGCTAAAGGGAAATGCAGAGAACCAGTAAAAAAATCCATTGGATAGCTGGCTTTCTTACATGCATGCCAACCTTTGGCTTCTTTACTATTCATTCTATCCAGGAGGAGCACACACCAACTGTAGATGCTTCCTCAGCCTGAAGAAGGGTATTTATACCTGAAAGTTTGCAAAGAAGAATTTTTCCAACTATCTGAGTTGGTCTAATAAAAGATACCAGATTTACCCAAAGAACCTTGTCTGCCTATGTCTTTAGACCAACACAGCTACAACCTATACTCCTGTAGGATAGCTAGTAAAGTAGATACGAGGAAACTGTCCTGAAGCAATATTGAAGAGGCAGGAGAGGTTGTGTCACTTCAAGAATAGAACAGAGAGGTAGTTAGCTGTGTTAGTCTGAAGTCAGGCAGGAGGCAGGGCTGGGAAGAGTGGGTTCTTAGAGACCAGCTCATTCAGAAATGCATAAGCTTTTGTAGACACCAGTCTACTTTGTTAGATGATAGAACACAGGAAAGGAGTGTCTCTCTCTCATGGAGATGGCTATACCACTCACTTTAGCATCCTTACCATGATAAACCTATGTTCATTCTTTCAGTTGTGCTCTCTCTTCAGTTTTGAGTATTTCCCCAGTTACACACTTGAGGGAGAAAAAAAATCTATTGATTGAAACACAAGTTTTCAATTTTAACTCTCCCTAAAGAGATGCTATATTTGAACAGGGACTGAACAAGGAAGTCTCAAGATTAACAGCCCTAAGAGGTATCCTATTGTGCTACAGTTCTTATCTGGCTACATGGCAGGGGCTTAAAATGACTAAAAGGTAAGCCCCCAATCTCAACAAGCAAGTCCTTGTTTCATCATTACTTTGGTGACTAGCAGGGAACTTTGCAAACTACTTCCTATCTGGCTCAATAATTTATTCTTTGAGTCACTGAATAAGGATTGTTATTTGAGTATAGGTTTTTACCTGCCAATGGTGTTTGACATAGCTGAAACTGAGGACTGTAATCAATTTAAATAACAAGGAACTTTTAATGCAAATTAACCATACAGAAACAGAAGTAGAAATCAAGGAACTGTACATACTGCCTTGTGAAGAATTCATTAATTATCACATTGATGGGTTATAGCACAGAGAAAACAGACAGCCTAATTTAGCCTCATGTACTAGAGAGAAAAAGGGATATTATAGCTTTAAGTCTGCTGACCATGATTCAGCAAAGCACTTAAGCACTTGCTTAAATCCTATTAGTCTTAATTGCCATGTGCTTAAATTTAATCTATTCCTGTAAAACTCCTTTGCTTGAAAGGAACACATTTTTATGCTAGAATAATGCCCTTGACTGTTAAACTTCTTTTAAACATTGTATTTATGTCTTTTGTTACAGGTTTATACTAGAGAAAGATACACCTAAACTTTAGGAAACACTTAATAAAAAAGCAAGCATCAAAAGTAAAAGGGACCAGCAGCATAAACAGGTGGTGGTAAGTGGGGCACTAGACTCAAGCACCAATGCAGAGGGGGTGCCAGCAGGGCTCCATGGCCAATACTGACTCTTACGGGGGATGAAAATGGGATGACATGATGCATCTCCTCCCACCACCCATCCCTGAGGAGGCTTTGCTACAGAGGGCACAGCTCTGCACCTGTGGGGAAGAGAAAAGCAAATAGGGCACCAGAAGCAGCCCCTGGGGAGCTCAGCTGCTGACTCCCCTCTTTCAGCCCAAGCCCATGGTGTTGTAATAGCAGCTGCAGCAGTAACTGCTGCCAGGGGAGCAAGGAGAGCCAGGTAGGTAGGTAAGACTCTGCTTCCCTTTCCCTCTTCCCACCACTGACTCTCCACTGGTCAGGATAATTGTCCCCCACCTCTGCCCCAGGCACCGAAAGAGCTGGCTAGACTTCTGTTTGACAGAGTCCAGCATTAAAGCTGTGACAAATTCTAGCCCTAAGGAAAGCCAAAGAATACCACAATTCATGCTAATGCTCAGCATTTAAATTGATCACCATTCAGTATAGAAGAAGGAAAAGTGAGAGATAAGGAACACAACCAATCAAAGTTTCACTTTGGTCTTTTTTTTTTTTTTACTTGCATCTCTGGAAATATATCTTGCTTGATTGTAAGATAAATACATATTATGGAGCAGGGAGATGTTGATCCTGCTGAAGTCACTGGACCTAATTGTACAAGTTGGTAAGCCCAGTTGACTTGAGGGTGATAGGCACCCTGCAGAAGGCAATCAACATCTTGAAAGACATTGCGGGGCATGAGCCCTGATAACTGCATGTGTTTAACACTTCTCCAGATATATATGTGTGGGTTGGAAAAATACAGCTGTGTTGGTAGTAACAGAAGTAAATCACTTTCTGTGGTGAGGCTGAGTAGTTCTACCTAAGTTGGTAAAACACAGGCTTTTCTCCCTTGGACCATAGATATTACTGAATATAATCCTCCTTTCAGGCTGATCCTAAAGCAAAAATAAGGGTAAATGTAGTCAATTCTTATATATAGTTGAAGTTACCACCAAGGCAGATTCAGATACTAGAAGGGATTTGAAATGCTTAAGCAATTTCATAGAGGGATCAAATTTGAGATAATATTTTCAAATATAGTTATAAGACTGGAGTATAGATATTCTCCTTTTGCCTCTTCAAGTAAAGCTACTACTCTGAGATTTGAGCTTTCAGAAATATTTTTCAATTTTCCTGTAAAGAAAAATAGCAAGTCCTTTAAGCCCTGGTAGGGATCTCAGTCTTTAGCATTCTGAATTTTCTGGTTTTGCAACAGATAATCATTTATCATTTCCATTTTTCTGTCCTTTACATTTAGTCTAGGAACAATAATATTGATTTTTCCTTCTACTCGTTTTAATTGTGTTAAGAGAATAAAAATTAAAATCAGACATTCATTTTCCTTTCTTTCCTTCCTGTGTGTATAGGTTACAAACCGCTGATGCCTGATAACTTCTCTTCAGAACTACATCACAGTGATAAGGAAGAGAAAGGAGAGGGGATCTTGTCTTTTTCTTACAAACCCCAACTATCATTTAAGTCCTGCTGATAATGAAAGAGGGAAGTTCTCGTTTCTCCTTTAGGAGACATTCACCCAGACAAGACAGTAAGAAGCTTTTCAGGTCAGTTTAGTCAGTAAAACACTTGATTGGGAATCAGGGAGCCTGGATTCCATCCCCAACTCTGCTACCGACCCATTGTGTGACCCCAGCAAGTCCCCTACCTATTTACCTCTTTACTCTTTGTCAGTCTTGCTTATTCAGACTGTACGTGGTTTTTTTGTGCAGGGTCCATTCCTTAGCATGTACTTGCATAAAGTCTAGTGCCCCAATCTCAGGTGTGACCTTCTGATTGAAATCACTATGACTACTTGCCCTGTATTACCAATGCACTGTGAGGGCACAAAATTGCCCTCTGAAATGTCTTATAGACTGACAAATTTGAATGACAAGTCTAGACTGTGAATGAGGAGTTTTGGCACAAACTGGAATTAATTGTGACCCCTATATTTGGACTGTGCATGTGGATTTCATAGTTTGCCACATACTATGTTTCTGAGTCTGAAAACTGATGATGCTACTGTGCTCCCCTATCTCTCCCCACTTCTATTGCTCTTTGTAGTCAAGAATCTTAAAAATATGAGTAGGATAGAAGCTGCTACACTGTAGTCTGCCTCTGCAGGTAAAGAGCATAAGCAATAGCTGAGAGATGTGACATGGTCCATTCATCTTCATTTCAACTCTGAAACCTGGAGAAGACGATTTAAAAGTCAGCATTAACTCTTTCACTGCTGACCATTTTAGCAGAAAGCAGTCAATTCATGTGGCAATCCTACAAAAAGAAGACTGTAAAAAAAATCAAGATTATAAAGAAATCAAAAGGAATTATGGCACTGGGAAAAATCCCAGCTCTGAGAAAATTAGTCTTGTAACAGAAAGTTTCCCTCGGTTCCCATCAAAATGGAAGGAGTACTTGTTATAATACTAACAGAGTCCCAATACAACAGCTGGGGCAACAACAGAGGTAAATAACCTCCCAAGAAAAGCTTTATTAGATTTAGGATGTTCCTATATGCTTGTGCATGAGCTGTTGTGGGACCTAATTAAAAGTCTGGACAAATGCTGACAATTTTTGAAAGGAGAACTGCAGCAGCTTAGCAAAATCTGAGTACTGACTCAGAAACAACCACACAAACTCAGAATATAGACTTACAAAATAATCCAATTATCTCATGTCTGATTAAAAATCAGTATGCTCTTGTATGGTTAAGTGAGGATTTGTTTATTAATAAAAATGGTACTTTAATGTGACAATGTTGATTGTGAAGTCCAGCACCCCAACAAGTAGTCCTCTGCAAATTAACCTGTAATTTAACTTCCCTGATTCTACCAGCCTTAATCACCAGAACAATCCCTTCTCCCAAAAGTTGATTGCTGAATTATCCATAGCTTCTTGCATGAATAAAAACTACTTCCATAAGCAAAGTTTTTAGGATGAGGCATCTACATGTCTTGAATATTTTACATACATGGCTGCATTGTCACAGAAATCTTTTCTAGGTATCTGATGTAATTTATTGCAAGTACAAAGTCTATTTGCCTGAAAAGTACTCAGAATTATTCTAAAACAGTCTTAAAAAATTGCATTACACTGTTTTTCATGGATTTTAATTAGGCAATACGAAAAGACAGTGTTTCCACAATTAATTATTATTTTCCAATTTTTATTTTATTATTGTATAATATTTGTATATGTATTTGACACCATACCTTTTCTGACATTGGAACTGAGCTGAACTATAGAGACTTGTTATCACTATGAGAAATTTCCAGTTATATTCTCTGATGGCAACAGTCAGAAATAGAATAGCTGATAAGCTTCACACAATTCTTAAAATCTGAATGGTAAAAAAAATTCAGTTTGGATCAACTATATTCAGTAGATGCAGAAAACCAATGGAGACTATGGAGCAATACTACTTTATAGCCGTAACTACTGTAAACATAAGCCTAGACTAAAGAAAGGGACATTTGTAGGCAAGTTTTACAGAAGGTCATCAAAAATACAACATTGCAGTAATGAATCCAGAGACTACTAGCCACGAAGTACTATCCTATGGAGGAAAAATAATTTAAACAAGTGTCAGAATCCTATTTCAAATTTCTTTTAAGCCAAATCCTGTATGATATGAAATGAAAGGGCAGAGTACGGCTCTTTTAATTAGGGTCATATGTATATTGCTACATAGTAATTAAAGCTTGTTATGGCAGCATCCAGAAGCCCTAATCAGAATAGCTGCTAACAAATGCAGAGGAAGACAAGTAAGAACTTGCAGGCTAAGGAGTAGTCCATAAAGGGAAAGATGGTAGCTCTTATGGATGGGTTTAAGTACATAAAAATTTTTTGAGGCAGCAGAAAAAATTGATCTCTGCTGGGACGTAGGTCTTTATGACAGCATCTAAAACTGACTGCCAGGAAAGTTTGTGTAAAATCATCCAAAGCATGTTCCTCCAGACACTTGTGCCTGGACAGACACACCTCTGGAATGACAACTGGTAACCTATAACCAGGGAGACTACTTCAACATGATTTAGTGCTGCTCCAATTATAAGTCCAGCCATGAAGCAAGCCAAATTAAGTGTATTATGATCTTTTCTAGAAGGCTGTTTGAATATAAGTAGTGCCAGTCCAAAGCCCTGTAAGCACAAAATACTTCAGAGCAGCCCCAAAACTGTTGGTGAAGGATTCAGAATCTCAAAGGAGAGCATAGGTCTATTGCTTGCACTTCCTTCTTTTAGACCAAAGTATTTCTTTCCAAGCGAATGGCTAATTTTCTTACACAGGCAGCCATGGAAAAATCTGTCGTTAATCAAAGAAGGACAATTTTATCTTCAAGAATTTTATCCATAAAATTCAAGGTCCTGAAATAGGCTTTTATTAGGTTAAAGTGTACAAAAATGCTTCATACTTTTTCAGGTCACTTGCAAAGAGATCTTTGGAGCTAGAGAAGCAGAAGAAAAGAAAATCATTGCTTTGTCATCTAGTCTAATCTGATTATAGTGGCAACAACCTTATGACAGAAAATAAAACCTCTGTGAGAGATGAGGACTTAAAGCAGGTGGAGGAGGAAAATAAATATTCTAGAGTAGAATAATCTTAAAAGAGCCCTTTCCCCAGAGCTACTACATATTACTATGGTTTTATTGTCATTGATATTACTCTCAAAATATGGCCGCTATACATTTTTAAAAAATTGTCATTAAGAACTGAATATCTGTTCCATTAGGGACTTGAATGGGAATGATAGCTGGATCTTAGAGAAAGCCTTGTAGCCACAGGCAATGAGGAATTAAATCTGACATCGCATCCTATAAGACCGCTAACTTTAAAACACCTGTTCTATGGAATTCAGGGTACTAGGATGGCTGAGGGAAATGCAGGGAGGCTGGCGTCATATCCCCTGGACTTCCCTTTACAAGCAGAGACATTCTGGCAACATGAAACAGAAAGATGTTTTCACAGAGACTTGCAGAAAAAGGCCGCAGAAGAGCCAGTGGACAATCTTATGCTTTTCCTTTTCTATGCACATTACACTGGCTATGAGTAGTCAAAGTACTAGTGGAAGAATGAGGCTATTTTTATGGTTGCTTGTGAAAACAGACCAAAATTAATGTGTGTGCATGTGAGAGAGAGAGAGAGAGAGAGAGAGAGAGAGAGAGAGAGAGAGAGAG